TTAATATTTCTTTCGTCAACTTACAATGTTTACATATTTCTATTTTGGGACGTCCAATTACAAAGTTAACATTTCATTAAATACCATACTGTTTTCCACAAATACCTTTACTTTACATCACATCATTACTTTTAAACAAAAAAAGTAAGGGCAAAAATATCATTACACTACTTTTAACTACTCACTATAATTAAAATACTATTTTTTCTTAAACACCGCGCCAAAAGTAAATGTAAACTTTGTAAGTGGACGGAGTGAGTATAATTTTTTAAATGTAAAATTAATTTTTAAGTATAATATAAAAAATAAAATAGATTGTTAGTTTCCTATTTTATTTTATTTTTAAAAAATAGAGTTGTAAAACAAAAGAATTGTTGTTGAGTTCAGCTCCATTCAGTTTGCTTAAGCTAATAGCTGAACACAAATATATTTATGACTCGTGCTCACGAATGAAGTCGAGGTTGTTTGCAAACAATCATTATAAAAATAATTTTATATTTAAAAAAATTATAAATTTGTATAATTTATCTTTATTAATAAATAATTATTTAACGAGCCGAGTCGAATCAAATACGAACAAAAAAAATTATTTAACGAACTGATTTTCAAAAAAAAATTTCAACTCATATGTCTTAACGAACAAATACGAACAAAATTTGAGTTCTTAAGGAGCCGAGCTCAAACATGATGTTAGAATTTTTAAGAGAAAATAATAAATTTTTTTTATTGATCATCAAAATAAAAAGCTTATATATAAGACTCGATAGACTCAAATCTAAATAATCTAATCTATGGATAATATCAAATTTAAATATAAATCTAAAACACGTGAAAAAGTTCACGTAGTTCGGATCGTTTACTATTCTACCAAAAAATTATACTCCCTCGGTCCCATAACAAAGTATGCATTTTTTCATTTCAGTCCGTCGTATAACAAAGTATCTATTTCTTTTTTTTAGTAACTGTACTATCTACATAACATTACAAATACCCTTACAACTTACAATATATTACACAAATGTCATTACATTTATATTACACATACTAATAAGGTTATTTTAATCATTTCTACTTTATTCCTACTATATCCCAATATAATACTAATATTTCTAAAACTACGTATACAAAGTAAATTGATATTTACTTATGAGACATATATCACAATATAATACTAATATTTCTAAAATTACGTATAAAAAGTAAATTGATATTTACTTATGAGACGGAGGGAGAATAAATTTCTTTTTATCTTTCATATATCTAATATATATATATATATATATATATTATAAGGCCATACTTTGTGGTCACCTTTATTTGTAGGATGCATGTGAAGGGCATGATGTGTAGTAACTTGCATGTATTACTCACATAGTGGTGTGCATCATTTATTAGTCTCACAATTTTTATCAAATTTAATTATTTAATTTCTTTAATCATAAAAATAAACATTATATTGCAATAAAAAGTAGTTCATTAATTTTTATTTTAATTCTAATTTATTACCTCCTTTTGCCTTTTGGATGTGTAGTAGGTGGTGGTTGAGATGAGTAATTATAACTAATAAATTTTTTGAAAAAAAAAAAAAGAAATAAATTATTAATTTTTTCTTTATAAATAAATAAATAAATAAATTTTAATTAAACATCATAAGTTATTATTCAAAAGGAAAATTAAAACTAAAATAAAAAAAAATACTAGTAAAACACATCAATGAGCACATTTTTAAATATGTTTTCACAATACTATCAAATTTTGGGTGTATTTGTTTTGTGTTTTCTGCTTGAAGTATTTTTTATTTAGGTATGAATAAGTTTGTTGGTAATATTGAACTGTTATATTTTTATGAATGTGTAAAATATGTATTATATAATAAGATATATTGTATTTTTTAATAATTTTAATGTTGGAATATGAAGCCTGATTATATCCTAAAATCTAGGGATATGATTTAGATATTATATTTTACATTTTAGAGATATGATTTGGATATTATTGTCAATGACTTTGGCTATAAATATCTATGTATTTTCACTTTTAACATGTGCTGCGTACTTTATAGTAAAATTTCTGACTTGACAGCGCCCCAGACGTAGATCATTGTGATCGAACTGAGTTACCAAATTCTTGTGTTCTTTTGTCTTTGTTGTCTCATCTTGATTTTCTGAAATTTCTGTAACATTTAATATTGTATTTTGCATTCAATATATACTTTTTATTTGAAATATTATTTTAAAAACATAATATTGTTTGAAACCGGACATTTGAATTAATTTAGAACAAAATATACGTGCAATGAAAGAACTTTACCATCAAGTCAGGTTTTAATTTGTTTTTATTTCAAAAATTAATATCTATATATATAAATTTATTAAAATATAAATATTAATCCAGGTCGGCCCAGACCCGATTTATTAGCAAGCCGGGTCAGATACGATCCGAAAATTTTCAGGCCTATTTTTTAATGTCCAAGTACAGTTTTTTCGTGGTTTCGAACCGTGCTTATTTTTGCCGCCAGTTGATTATTAAATTTGTGTGTGTGCCTATGCTCTATGTTAGAATGATTTGCTACATTATCGTATCCAAAATTAATATGTTACAACAATTAATTTGTCACAATTTTTTTTTTTTTACCCAAACAAATAAAAGCAGTTCCAAAAGCTTAATGGAAATAAAATAATAGTAACATTTAAAATTAATGGGACAAGTCAATAGTCACCTGTCCCAATATCTATGGTGCAAATCCTTTTCCGACTATCATACATCATCCATAATCATTAAATTAAATTATTTTCACCTATTAATTGGGAACCATTTATATGAGTTGGAAAAATGTACACCCTATACATATATATATATATATATAATTAAATAATTTCAATTAATTAATGTGACACCTAAGAAACCCAACCCAAAAATTTAATTTTCCTATAAGTGCTAGTAGTGTCTATATTGAATAAATGTCACGTTACAATATTTAATGATCTAGAAGAAATTGGACTTTTGTAAAATCTTGCACAATTAATTACACACACGCCCATTTGAAGATCACAACATGTGCTCGTATTGGAAAAATATATCCGTTAGTTTTGAAAACGTGAGAATAATCAAAAAAATTAATACTCCCTCCGTCCCAGATACCGTGTCTGCTACATTGTAGACACGGTATTTTAGAAGAGGTGTCATTAGTATTAGTAGATAATTAAGAATGTATTAGTAAAAATAATTATCCTATAATATAAATAATTATAAATTAAGATTAAAATAACTAATTAGTTTAATTAAAATTAAAAAAATTAAAAATTAAAAAGTTTAAAATGAGATTAAAGTGTGTAATCATTTTCCAAAAAAGAAAAGTGACATGGTACGTGGGACAGACAGAAACGACAACGTGGACATGGTATCTGGGACGGAGGGAGTATTTGATGATTCTGTGAGAAAAAAATATTATTTGATGCAATATTTTTTAAAAAAATAAATAATGTCAAAATTTAAAATATAAAGTGTCAAAGAAAAATGTCAAAGCTATTTAGCTTCACATATTTTTTTTTTTTTAATTTTTTATACGTTCTTTTGACAAATTAAATATTTATTTATTTAGAAAATATAACATCAAATACTAATTTATTTATTTATTTATTTTTTTAAAAAAAATCTTCAAAAAGATATGGTAAATGATGCATTGTGTTTTTAATGTTTTGTTGTACTCCCTCCGCCACGTACCGTCTGCTACACTGTAGACATCGTATTTTAGGAAGGGAGTAATTAGTAGATAATTAAAAATGTATTAGTAAAAATAATTATCATATAATATAAATAATTATAAATTAAAATTAAGATAATTAATTAGTTTAATTAAAATTTAAAAAAAAATAAAATATAAAAGTTTAAAATGAGATTAAAATGTATAATCATTTTCCAAAAAAGGAAAGTGACATGGTACGTAGGACCGACAGAAATGGCAACATGGACATGGTATATGAGACGAAAGGAATATTATTCATCAAGATTTTAAGATATGGAACAAATTTATTAAATTTTTATTTAAAATGACAAATATATATATATACACACTTTTATAATACTTTAATTACATCGCCACTTATTTAAAAAATAATAATAATAATAATAATAATTCAAGTAAATTAAATTGTGTATATTTGTAGTATTTGAGTAGTTAATAATAATAATAATAATAATAAAACTTGCTGTTCCACATACTTGTACTATTTGATGTTCCAGTTGTACCTAAAGAATCAACTATTTAAATAATGTTATACATATATATATATATTAAATTTACTTTAAAAGTATAAATATTATTAATTAAACAAAACAAATAATATAATAATATCATAACTAATTATTATTAATTAATTAAATATCCTCACTTTAAATACGGTGTCTTTAAAAGTATAAATATTATTAATTAAACAAAACAAATAATATAATAATATCATAACTAATTATTATTAATTAATTAAATATCCTCACTTTAAATACGGTGTCTTTAATTAAATAGTTCAATTCCAATGAGACGGAGAGAGAGTATATATAACATTATTAAAATAATAAAATCGAATTTCAATAATTAATTTACAACCAAATAACATCCACACTATTCAAGGGTAAAATCGAATTTTCAATTGCAAATTCCAATAATTTCAATAATCTGCTGATTTTGCATTAAGTATAATACAATTTACATTAACCCATCATTTTTATGACCCAAGATTGCAAATTTATTCATCAATCAAAGAAATGATTTTTATTTTTATTTTATTTTAGCAATGAGTGGTAAAGAGTTTCGATACCCAATAAAGCAATGGCGAAGAACATCAAATTCCACAGTGCGAAAAAAAATGGCCGTTGTCAGAATCTCCCTAATCAATGATTATTGTGTAACGTTTATTTCCAAATTTTTAAATCCAAATTCACATTTAGCCTATATGTATAACGACAAAAGCATTCTGTATGTATTCTGTATGTATAGATCTATGTATCTGTATAGCGACTGACTGATTGTAGAGAGAGAGAGAGAGAGAAGAGGAGAGAGAAAGAGAGCTGTGGCAGCTTTGGGTACTTTTCACAGCTTGCTATACCATCACCAACCAAGCCTGACTACATACATACATAATTCAGTGACCTATCAATGGCTAGAGAGAGAAACTAGAGGGAGAGAGCTCGAGAGAAGGAAAAATGGGGTGAAGCTGAAGATTTTTTAGCTGCTTGGTGTGTTTTGTTCCACGGCGAGCACCTGCTGGTTAACTTACTGTGATTTTTTACTTTGTGAGTTTTGATCTCATACGGCCTTTCAATTTTTAATATTATTTTTTTTAATCTCTGATTTGTGAATGATTTTGGTTCATTTTTTAGCTGTTAAAAAGTGTCGGTTTGAGTTACCTTCGATGATTTTTGCTTCGTGGATGAAATGTGTGTTGATTGTTCTGATAGGGTTCGATTTTTTATCTCCAGATTTCATTTTGCCTGAAAGGTGTTCGACGATTTGTCTCTGAGTTAATTATTTGCTATCTCTTTGAGAAACTTTTTGCTCAATGATTTACTGATTTTTGCGACTATGGATGCTCTGAAATTTTAACCACAGTTGATTCCTGAGACGAATGTCTGAATATGATTTTTTTTTTTTTTTTTTTATAATTAAATTGCTAATTTGGTGCTGTTTGATGTTCTTGTTTGGTTTGCCTGCTCATAGATGATGATGGATTCAGCTGAATCTTTTGATTTTAGATTTTGATTTTTCTCAGAATGTTTGAAGGCATTTCTGTTGTTTGGAAGATTATAAATTTCTGGATGATCTTATAGCATCAGGAGATTGTTTTTGTTTCGATTTCTTTCGTCGATTATGTCCTTTTCGATGCACAATTCATAGCTGGATAATGAAATTTATACTTCTTCGGCGCAGATTTTCGTCAGTATATTAGCTTAGAAGCCATTAATTGAAGTTGACACTCTGCATTTCTGTCTGGTTCTTGATAAAGAAGGCAAGTTTATATCCCTTGATCCGGAAGATTATCCGAGGTATGGATTTATGGTGTTTTTGTTGAAATGTAGTTATCATTGCAGCGTTGTCAATTGTCGAGCTTATTGCAGAAACTGATTCATAGGAAATAAACAAACAGAAGATCAAACAAATAGTCGTCTCACAATGCATTCTTCTTCTCCTTTCAAAATGATAGTTTCGACATTTCTGTCAAGAATTGCTTAATGCCGTTTGTTTGGATTCTTTATCGAACAATTTTCATTGAGTATGGATACCAAATAATTGGCTGCAGGTTCGACATACCCCCGGTAACAGCAATCCATTTTGTCGATTCTGTGGTTTCCACGATAAAAAAAAAAAAAGCGCGCCGGGGTTGCATTTTCGATTTTTAGATGGCGGCCCTTTCGAATTCTGAGACGAGGAACATGTATTCTTGGTGGTGGGATAGCCATATCAGCCCGAAGAACTCAAAATGGCTCCAAGAAAATCTTACCGGTAAATACTTGTTTTTTACAGATTACAAATTCGTCTTCTCGCTTCTTATAATTTTATTCGGTTGGTTTATCAGATATGGACGCGAAAGTTAAATCGATGATCAAGCTGATCGAGGAAGACGCAGATTCGTTTGCAAGAAGGGCTGAAATGTATTACAAGAAACGCCCGGAGCTAATGAAACTGGTCGAGGAGTTCTACCGGGCGTACCGTGCATTGGCTGAAAGGTATAATCATGCCATGGGAGAGCTCCATCACGCTCATCGAACAATAGCAAAAGTGTTTCCCGACCACATACCGGTCGAGCTCGTCGACGATTCGCCTTCGAAAGTATGGACACCGGACAAAGACCTGCGAATGAACACGCCAGAAATGAAGTTTCCCGTGCGCTCATTGTTCCAAGGAGACGACAATTTGCTGGGGATTTCCGAATCTGAGTTGGATAAAATCACACCTCAGAAAGAAGATTCAGAGAAGGAGAAAGAAGACAATGAAGTGCTGCATTTGTCGAACGAAAACCAGAACTTTAAAGACAAGATTCGTGACGAGGCTGAAAGAGCGGGAAAAGCCGAAGACGAAGTTCAAAGTTTAACAAAAGCGTTAGCTGAGATGCAAGCCGAGAAGGAAGGCGCGTTTCATCAGTATCAACAATGTGTGGCGGATCTGTGTAAACTTGAGAAAGAACTCGAGAAGATGCAGAGGGAATCGAAGAGTCTCAGTGAAAAATCGAGCCGAGCTGAAATAGAACTCCAGATGTTGAAGGAATCACTCGTACAGTTGGAGGCCGAGAAGATCGCAGGAGAAGTTAAAGAGAAGGAGTATTTGGAGAAGATAGCCGAACTTGAAGAAGACACCGATGACTTTAACATTAGAGCGACGAAAGCAGAAATCGAAGCTCAAATTGTGAAGGACGAGCTTTCAAGGCTAAAAGGCGAAAGGGACGCGGTGGTTCATAACTACAATCAGTGTCTTGAGAAAATATCGGCTCTCGAGATTTTAATCTCGACTATGGAAAATGAGGCGACGCTGCTTAAGAGCCGAGTGAAAAGTTCCGAGAAGGAAATCTTCGACCTTAAAAAGTCTCTTGGAGATCGTAACAGGGAGAAAGAAGCATCGGAACTCCAGTACAAATACTGCTTGGAGAAAATATCGAAGCTCGAGGAAGATTTATCGAGTGCGAAAAGGGACGTCAGGCGACTTAACAACGATGTTTTGCTCGGGAATTTGAAGCTGAAGAACGCGGAAGAGAAGTGCAATCTTTTGGAGACGTCAAATCAGTCCCTACGAGCCGAGGCTGATAATCTAGCGAGAAAGATTGCCGCGAAAGATAAAGAGCTCTCAGAGAAGCAGCACGAGTTGGAGAGCCTTCAGACGAGTTTAGAAGACGAACACTTACGTCACGAGCAAGTCGAGGCGATGCTTCAGACGGTACAGAGTTTGCACTCTCGATCGCAAGAAGAACAACGAGTTCTTGCGCAGGAGCTCCAACGAGTTCTTGAAATGCTAAAGGAATTGGAGGAAGAAACGCCAAAGAATGTTACGGAGGAAGAAATTCAGCGCGAAAATGAAATCGTGAGCTTATGGGACATTAAGGAGAGACTTGAAAAGGAAGTCGCGCGCCACATCGATCTGAGTGGTTCCCTTCAGCAGGAAATCTTGTGTCTGAAAGAAGAAATCAAGGGGTTGAATATGCGGCATCGAGCGATACTCGATCAAATAGAAGCTACGGGTCTGAATCCCGAGCATTTGAGGACTTCGATAAAGAACCTGCAAGAAGATAACTCGACGCTGCGAGAAATGTACGAGCAGGGCTTCAACGAGAAAGAAATTCTATCGAAGAAGGTAGAGAGCCTGCAAAAAAATCTGGACAAGAAGGTCGACATGAATAAGGAATTGACGAGCTCGCGAGAAACAGTGAATTCATTACAAGAATCTTGTCGATCGCTCGTTACGGAGAAAGCTTGTCTTCTGTCGCAGTTACAGGCGATGACGGAGAATATGCACAAGCTGTTGGAGAAAAATGCTGTTCTCGAGAATTCCCTATCATCGGTGAAAATCGAACTCGAAGGTTTAAAGGAGAAAGCGAAGGGATTACAAGATATCTGCGACTTGCTTAAGGATGAAAGATCGTATCTTTTGAGCGAACGAGGAGTTTTAGCGATGAAATTGGAGAATGTCGAGAGGAGAGTCGAAGTTCTTGAGAAAAAGTACTCGGGATTGGAAGAAAAGTACGCCGATCTTGTGAAGGAGAAGGAAGCTGTGCACGATCAAGTTAAAGAGCTCGAGGTTTTGTTAGGCGTCGAGAAGAAAGAGCGAGCGAACTCCGAGCTTGACAGTCGTACGCGATTAATTGGGCTCGAAAGTCAGCTACACATTCTGAGAGAAGAGAGTAAATGGAAGAAGAAAGAGTACGACGAGGAAGTCGATAGATCGATAAAAGCGCAGTTTGAGTTATCGGTGTTGCAGAAAATCATGGAGGAGATGGAGGAGAAGAACTCGTCTCTCATAATCGAATGTCAGAAACACGTCGAGGCGTCGAAATTGGCGGAGAAGCTTATCAACGAGCTGGAGAGCGAAAGTCTCGAGCAGCAGGTCGAAGCTGAGATCTTGTTGGACGAAATCGAAAGAACGCGACTGGCGATGTACCAGATTTTCAGGGCGATCGGAGCGGGTCAAGATTGCGTTTTTGATAACAGGATCGACGACGAGCAGAGATTTGTGCATCGGATTCTCGAGAGTATTCATGACCTGAAATGTTCGATTTCGAAGCACGATGATGATAAGCAGCTGCTCTTGGTCGAGAACTCGGTTCTTCTAACTTTACTAGAGCAATTGGAGTCGAAGGGAATCGAAATCGAATCGATGAACTTATACTTCGAAAAAGAGCTGAAAAACCTCGTCGAGAAACTTGCCGTGGCGAGAAACGAGAAGGAAAAAATGTTGGAGCTTGCGACGAAGCAAGCAACTTTGCAAAGATCGTACAAATTGTTAGAGGAAGCGTTAGCAGAAGCGAATCAGCAAAACGCGAACTTACGGAAGAGAATTTCCGATTTAAGCGACGATAAAGATCAGGCGAATCGATGTACCGACGCCGCTCTCATGGAGTTTCTAGCGACGACTGTGCAATCGGAGGCTTTTCGAAGCTTCGGAGACGAGAAGCTCGACGAAATTAATTCACTTCTGATCGATTTGAACAGACAACATGAGATGAATCGTTGCATCGCTGAGAAGCTGGAGGTGCAAAAAGCCGAGAATTTACTTCTTAAAGACAATGCCGATCGATTGGAACGGGAGATCGAAAGTGTTCGAGAATATAATGTTGTAATGAAGAATGAGATACGTAATGGGAAGGAGAGTTTGCTCGAAGCCGAAGGAAAGCTTCTCGTCGCCGAAATCAAGCTCGAAGCTTCGGATAATTTGAACCTAAAGTTATGCAAATCGGTGAACGATCTAAAAGATGAGGTTTCGCAGCTGTCCAAAGACCGTTCTATCCAGTTGAAGGAAATCGAGAGGCTTCTGAATGTGAAAGAAAACTTGGAGTCGGAAATCGGACAGCTTCGCGAAGAATTGGAAGAAAAAGTTGTGCACGAGAGCCGTGAATTCAAGCTATGGGAGGAAGAAGCATCGGAATTTTATTTTGGGCTTCAGATCACGTCGGTCTGCGACGTTTTCTTCGAAAATACGGTGCGGGAGCTCGCCGAGCTATGCTGGAGGCTTCGGAATGAAAGTGATTCGAAGACAACGGTGATCGAAGCGAAGAACGAGAAGATTTTGTCGATGGAGACTGAAGTCGGGAGATTGAAATCGCAGCTGTATGCATACGCTCCGATTGTATCGGCGTTACGGGACGATGTAATACTAATCGAGCATCAGACGAAGATTAAAGCGTCCCGGAAAGACGAGACTGAGGTAAAACTCTCCGATTTCTCGCCAAAATCGTATCGAATTCTTACGTAAATGTTCGATTTTTACAGATGTTCGAGGTTGTCGATGCGATTGAAGATGAATCGATCGTTAGCTTGCAGAAGCTGCAGATGCGAATTAAAGCTGTTGGGAAATCGATGCAAGAGATGAACAGATCAGTCGGGCACCGACGAGCGAATTCAAGCAGCAAGCAAGAATCGGGAGGCGGCGAGATCGAACGATTAAAACCGTTGCGATGCTTAGGGAGAGACAAACCCGAGAATAATCGACGAAAAGGGCACGGGAACGACGCGTCGGAGACGCCAAAGCTGCAGAAAATCAAAACGAAATCCACCGAGCTTCGTAACACGACGACAACGAAAGACATCCCGCTCGATCAAGCTTCCGACGGCTCGCAAAACGGGATGCGACGTCGAGGCTCCGTCCGAGTCGACGACAAAATGCTCGAGCTATGGCAAGCCACGCCGCCGGATTTAACAATCGGCGAATCGCTGCGACGCTCGTACAAAATGACGGACAAGGACATTGTGTACGATCAATTCGACAATGGCAACCGGAAATCGGACCCACCGTCGACGGATTCTGACGTCGAGAAAGAACTCGGCGTCGACAAGCTCGAGGTTTTAACACGAACGGCGTCCCGAAACCGCGAAACAAACGCTCGGAGGATCATCGAGAGGCTTAATTCGGACGCGCAGAAGCTCGAGAATATTCGGATAACGGTCGACGACCTGAGGAAGAAGACGGAGGCGAATAAAAAGAGTCGAAAGGCGAAAAACGTTGATTTCGAGACGGTCGAGGAGCAGCTTCTAGAAGCGGAGGAGACGGTGGCGTATCTCGTCGAATTGAACGTCGAGCTTTCGAGGACGATTGAGGAGTGTCCGTCGCCGGAGGAGAAGGCGGCGGTTCAGGTGAAAGAAGCGGCGCGGAAACGGCGGCGGAAAGTGACGGAGCAGGCGCGGAAAGCGTCGGAGAGAATCGGGCGGCTGCAGCTGGAGGTGCAGAAGATACAGTATGTGATGGTGAAGGCGGAGGAGGAGAAGAAGAATCGGTTCCGGAATAGATTGTTCCGGAACCGGACGATTGTTCTGAGGGATTTTATTTACGATGGCGGCCGGAGGAGGAAGAAGAAGGATCCGTTTTGCGGTTGTTTTAGGCCGTCGACGGCGGCGACGGGCAGCCGGAGCGGGCAGAGTCCGAGCGGGTAAATCGTTGTTTTAGGCCGGGGACGGGCAGCCGGAGCGGGCAGAGTCCGAGCCGGTAAAATTGTTGTTTTAGGCCGGCGAAGGGCAGCCGGTGCGGGCAGAGTCCGAGTAGGTAAATCGTTGTTTTAGGCTGGGGACGGGCAGCCGGAGCGGGCAGAGTCCGAGCCGGGAAATGGTTGTATTGAATTGGGTAGAGCTACTGATTTTATTTTTATTTTTATTATTGATGGCAGATGTCTGTGACTGTGTAAGAAGGCTTTATAGTTTGTTTTTACTTCGGTATAATTTCTGCAATAATAAGACGCTTTGATCGATTTTTTTTTTTTTTTTAATATTTTGATTTAAATCCATTTATTTTATTTTATTATTATTTTAGAAAAAAAAATGTTTGACATAGTATCCTTTATATATATACTGTATAATTTTTATTCAATTTTTACGATTTAGATTTTATTCAAAAGAGTTTTTTCATTGAAATAAAAAAGACCAAATGGTCATATTTAAATATATATGCACGCAATGGTCTGCTTTCTCTTTTTAAATGTGTATATATATATATATATATATAATTTATTCACTTTTGCGTTTTTAGATGTGTTTACTGTTTAGGCATGAAAATTGTATAATTAATACAAAAGTTAAAAAAGTAAAATATATATTAATATATGTACATAAATATTATTAATTATTTTTAAATTTGAAATTTCTAAATTTGAAAATATTGCAGGTGTTTAAGACTGAAGGAGTAATATATATTATACTTTTTAATAATATTTATAAAACAAATTCACACTTACATGACATATTACACTCTTACTATATACTGCCTCTGTCCCATGTAATATGAGTGTATTACCGTGGACACGAAAATTTATAATTAATAAATAATTAAGAAATGTATTAGGAAAAACAATTATTATTTAGTAAAAATAATTATAGATTAAGATTAAGATAACTAAATAGTTTAATTAAAATTAAAAAATTTAAATTTTAAATTTTAAAATAAAAGTGTATAATTAATTTTCAAAAAAAGAAAAGAACAAATTATGTGGGATAAAAAATAGGGACAAATTATCTGGGACGGAAGGATTACTTTTTAGAAATTTTAAACCATTCATCAAAATTAACTTTTTTAAAAAAAAAACACCATCAAATTCCTACATATCTAACTAGAAATGTATTTAATATTATAATTTAGAAACAAGCATAGAATTTAAAATAAAATCCAAGAAACACAGATTGCAACAAAATGTAGCCTCAGTAACAAATTCATTGATTATATCAAAATCTCAATGCTAAAACACTCCAACAAAAATACCTGCAGCTGAGTTTTTCCCAAAAATGTCAAGAACCATATGGAGAAATTGAACTAGGCGCCGATGACTTCAGTAGGCTCTACGGGCTCTTCGACCGGCCGGTCCAACTTCACCCCGACATCTTCACTGTAATCACCATGAACCTACCGGACAAAGAAACGAGCATTATATTTCACTTATAACTCGAGTCATTAACAAAATTAGCACAAAAAAACTTATAATGACTTCTTTTAGATGGTTTAATCTTTTGTTGAATAGGATTATAATTTATCCCGACTAACGAGAACAAAAAAGTGTCTTAATCACTCATAACGAACATTTCTTTAGAGGGCATGTTAGCATTAAAGTTAAACTATCCAATGTAATTGTTTACGATAAATGACCATTCGCTAATAGCTAAATTAACATTAATTATAGTATACAAATCAAGGCAATAATAATAATAATAATAATCCATCTAATAATAATTAAATTATTTTATCTTGTGATTATAATATCCATTAAAATAACACTATTTTAATCATATCATATAGAGTGGATAAAATATTTATACATGTCGGCTATGGGTTTGTTTCTTTTAAAAAAGAATTCCAACACATTTCCTTAAAAAAATTAATATACTACACGTACTAATTATTTTTATATTATCTACACAATTCTCTGTACCTCACATTAAATTTTTTTTTTTCAAACCAAAACACAAAACAAACACACCCCACATTTATCAAAAAATTAAAGAATGTAACAGATCGTAGGTCTTACCTCCATCAATCTTCCGAGGTCAAATTTCGGAGCTTTCAAGATCTTGACCTTCCTAATAAACACATTCTGCAAAGGATAGATGCTCGAAGTAGCCTTCTCAATATCTTTTCCAATTGATTCGGGGATAAACTTCTGAACCAAATCCTTGAGATCGCAAGATTGTGCTTGGTTAATCATGATCTCTCTCATCTTCCTCCGGATCTAAACAAACGTAATAAAACACTTATTAATAGGGAGAAAAATATTGAATAAATTCGATTAAAAACAAGGGGTTTTTATACTGAAATGGTAATGGCATTTCACTTGTATCTCATACAAAACCAAACAAGACATTTAAGAAAAGTATTTACTTGACGAATCTGGCTCGACTGAGCATAACATGTCCTCTTCTGCTGGTTGACGCGCTTCTTAGTGAAGGCAATACAGAACATCCTTAAAGTATAGCCATCGGTTGTCTTGACATCAACATGAGCTTCGATCAACGATTGCCATTTTTTTACTAGTGATCTCAATTTATCAGTAGTGAAATCCATACCCTGAAATTTCAAGAGAATAGTTCGTCACTCAAGCAAATGTAGTACAAAGCCGCCAAAAATATTACGCCCTCTATCCCACTAGTTCTATTTGAAACTTTTGGCACTATTATCAACAGTAATTTTAAAAAAATAAAAATCATATCAAATACCTTTTTCTTTTCATAGAACATCACAATATCAAATATTCAATTTTTTCCATTTCCCAATATTTTTCAAAACTCCAAAATTTTCAATACTTCTATCTAAACAGAGCCCAAAAATCTTTTGCTACTATTTCTACTTTGGGATGTCTAAAATATCTTGCAACTTTTATTTACTCTATATTACCTTTATAATAAATAAAATTTATAAACTCACTTCCAACAAGTAAAATCGCCAAAGATTATAAAAACTATACTTGTAGTTTCGTACCCAGAAGTTTGTCAGAACATTTTTTCCCTGGATGTCCTCGGCTCTCAATCGAATCTTTCTGAAGGCGTGATCCTCATCACCTTGAAGATCAGCAAGGGAAACCTCAAACACACGATGCTTGAGCCCTTCTGAAGCAATCTGGTGAATAAAATTGTTACTTTAGAGACAATGTTGGAATTAAACATGAGTAGTTTCGAAATAAACAATGCAAACAATCCATATCAATTACATATTTGGACTCTTTTTACATAGACATCCAAAAAAATAAAAAATGCACTGTCTATCAACTACAATTTTTCAATGTGATATTTTGTGAGAAAAAAAAAGTAGCTTTTTAATAGAATCTGTATAGGGTCAATAGTTTTGATTTTGATTTGAAATACTAAACAAAAAAAAAAAAAAAAAAAATTTGCAATGCCATCTAAAGTAAAATAATTTTGACCCTTAAACCATCACATCCATATTCATGCATCTCAAAACTATTTCATTTTCATATTAAGAAAATCACTTTAAAATTTATTTACCATTAAACAAAATTAAATCCAAAACAAGAGTGGCATAAAAATGCAACCAAATTTCTATCCATTCAGAAATACCTTCTGTTCAATTAAATGAAGAAAAACTGAAAGCATATCCAACAGTAGCTAAAAAGAAAATTATTTGTAGGATTCAAAGTAGAAAAATAATATTAAAATACTACGAAGGATTAATAAAACTGAAGAAAAAATTAAATAAACACATTTTATTACTGTTACTGAATAAATTAATTACCTTTGTACCCTGTGTACGAGTAACAAGCGTCTTGCCGACATTTCTAGTGTTGAAAATCGAAGGAGCTTTTACATCATACCAATCCTTCTTGGCAAATGGATCAACCCTGCAAAAACCAGATCCAGAAATGTGAAAAAAAAAAAAAAAAAGTGTAGCGCAGTTACGAACATTTGAAAAATAAGGTTAATTTTAAGAAAAATTGCACAAAAAAAACAGCTCACGCTTTCTTCTTTCCTCCCTTCTTCCCCTTGGAAATTCTCTTGTTCTTCCTGCATCAAATCGAAAATCATCCATATTAAGTATCCGACATAATCTAGGTCTTCAATTTGCACCCGAAATAAATAATAAAAAAAATGCATATAATAGAAAAGTATACGGATTTGGGAGGACGTTAGTACCCGACGGCCATGGCGGCGGAGCAGTAGAGCTTGGAGGATGCAGAGACGGCGACTCTGAGAAACGCTCCTCGTTCTAAGATATTTTTGCTTAACCAAAACCCTAGTTCGTCGTCTCCATTAAGATAGCCAGAATTGGACCGGTCAAAAAGCCCAATTTGAGATCCAGGCCCAATAATAAGGTCCAGGCTCATTATTAAGTATAAATTATTGGGCCAAACCAAAGGCCCAATTTTAGCTTCAGGCCCATTATTAAATAATTCCTTTTCTTCTTCGTGCGGATTTAAACTTAAACCAGCAGAGGAAGACGAAGATTGGGGAAGAATCTCAGAAACCCTAACAAGAAACTCAGATCAAATTGGAGAACAGCGTTGTTGTTTCATACTGAGTATTAAGGTTAGACTTGACGAAAAATGGGGGAAACCGGAGAGAAGGCGGCGGCGGAGGCTTCGCTGAAAGATCAGGGGAATGAGTTTTTCAAAACTGGGAATTATCTCAAAGCTGCAGCTTTGTATACTCAGGCCATTAAGAAAGATCCTTCTAATCCTGCTCTTTACAGGTAATGCTCAGTGTTGTTCTGGTTGGGATTTTGATGATCCCGATCTTCTCTTCACAACTCCATAGCAAGCACTCAGTTTATGTTTTTAATTCTTCTCATTGTAGTTTGTCGTTTATTTTGTTTCGACAGAGATTTTAGCTATGCATACAGTTTGTAATAAGTATCTTTGAAGTTGAACTAGGTTAAGGGTTTTGGTTTTGGGGGCGTTTTTTATGATTTGGATTTGAAACTTTTTTGAATTGAAAATAGGTTGGATAATATATTTTGAATGGAAAGCGCTTCTTGAATGTGTTTTTCTTTAGGAAGACATTGTTTTTAGTGGAGATAGAATGTCGAATCAATAGTACGAAAACTAATTCAATAACACAAACCAAATTATTTGCTTTTATGATTGGGTTGTGTATGTTTCTTTGAACAAAATTTCATTGATTTATTGTCTGGAACTAATCGTTTGGTTGAACACACACATTCGTAGTCTCAAAAGGTTAGAAATTTTGTATACAATCGTGGAGGAAAGACTATCTTTATGCCTTAATGAGTAGCCGTAATACTTTCTAACATTTCGAGGTTTAGTTTGCTCAGAATGGTAGTCAAAAATGTTAAAGCACATTGTGAAGTTGTTTGAAAAGAAGTATGATATCAATTAACAAGAACTTTATGTATCAAATTGACATTCTTTATGGCATACTAGTGACTTTTTGTGCAACAATAGTAGGTGTTTAGTAAATGAAGATTTTGGTAGATGATAATATATGAACAATGTCTTTGAAAATGTTTGGATATCCTCGCCTTCATGTTTGTAAGGTTTTTTGTTTTCCTATATGTCCATTTTCTCTTCGCATTATTTGTATGTACCTCTTTCTTAATATCCATTATACGTATATCTCAAATACTGAACTGTTAATAGTTAATACTGTTGGTACGTCTTTTACTAGCAATCGTGCCGCAGCATTTCTGCATTTGGTAAAACTGAACAAAGCACTTGCTGATGCAGAGACTACAATCAGTCTAAAACCAGATTGGGAAAAGGTACCCGGTTTATTGATTAATGAAATTTTTGTTTCTTTTTCTTGACCTTCATTCTTTGCTCGATTACATACCAAACTACTGCTGGTTTATTTTGCAGGGATATTTTAGGAAAGGGTGTGTTTTAGAGGCTATGGAAAGATATGAAGATGTAAGTGATTTTTTAGATTTGAAAAAAAAAATTGTAGAAATTAACCATTAGTTTTTTTGATTTGTTGCATAGGCATTAGATGCCTTCCAGGTTGCATTGAAGTATAATTCGCAGAGTTCTGAGGTGTCCAAAAAAATAAAACGGATCATACAATTGGCGAAAGACAAGAAACGGGCTCAAGAAGTGGAGGATAAGCGATCGAATGTTGATATGTCCAAACATTTAGATTCCACAAAAACAGAACTAGTAAGTGCATATTTCGTTAGTTGTATACCAAACCTTTTCTGCTATTGCTGCTTTTGATTATTTTCTCTAATCTTTTTATTATTTTTTTTTCCGACAATTGAGATTATCTTTGAATATCCATTTTCTTCAGAATTTGGCTTCTAAACTGTGCTGTCTTAAGATTCTTTTTCAATGCTCAAATTCTCTCATAGATTTCAAAATATAATCTTATTTCTCTGTCTGCAGTCTGCGGCCTATGAAGCTGAAGATTGTTGGAAGGAGATTTTCTCTTTCCTTGTTGAAACAATGGAGAATGCTGTAAAAACATGGCATGAAAAATCTACTGTCGAACCTAGAGCTTATTACTTGCTTGATAAAGAGAACACAGATACAGAAAAATACGCTCCAATTGTTAATATAGATAAGGTACAAAACCTTTTGCCAATTGTTAATATAGATAAGGTACAAAACCTTTTGCGCAAAACTATTTTCCATTGTGATGAATAGGGGTATAATTTGACCTATTTTGTCAGGCATTTGAATCACCGCATACGCACAGCAGTTGTTTCTCCTTCCTCAGGCAGTACGCCGAAGAGTCTTTCTCTCAAGCTGCATGTTTAGCCGCTCCCAAAAGTATAATATCGTACCCTCAGGTAATTCTTACTTCCATTATCTCAAAATTTCTTCCAAGTTTCACCTATTTCTGGCTTCTTGATGTTAGCAATTTTGTCGCAATTAGATCTGCTGTCTCTATGAGGATGTTTATTCTATAAACTGAGCGATTTGAACAAATTGAAGGTCATCTAGCTGCGCAAACCGATCCAGAACTTTTGATGGTTGATGTATGGAATGGGACTTGGACGAGATAAAAACAGATCTTTAGTCACTTATTGAAATCAATTATGATTGTTAGGATGGGGTGAAGCGAATAAATAGAAAATGCAAACACTAAATAGAATTTGGAGAGTAATCTTATTCGAAGAATTTGTACTATGCACTGACCATTTAGAACTAAATTTTTAATTTGTAGGAGTGTTATGTGATCAAATTTTTGTGTTCCTTGGATAGTAAAAAAATTAACTTGAAATAATGCCTGCTGAGATATAAATAGGTATTCTTTGTAATCTTTTGAATGAAATTTTGATTTTTTTTTTTTTAATGTAATATATTACATGAAAAAGAAAATATTTGATTTGATCGTTTTTTAGAGGGAAAATTTTGGTGAAAAGTGCCGTGGCAAAATCAGACCTTAAAGAAAAAGAGCCTAGTTTCCCTGAATCTTCTCTTTCGTTAACTTCATTAAACCCTTCAAAATCGTCTTTCTGAAAAATTGTGCAATGGATTTATTTCTATGTAAATGCAGGTGTGGAAGGGCCAAGGATCAAGAAAATGGAAGCATGGACAAAATGATGGTTTCTTTTTCCAATTTGAATCACCACTTCTGCGTAAAATTTGGTTTATTCCCAGTTCTAACGAGAAGGGCCGAACTTTGTGCAGGTCTCCCTCTTTATTCATATAACATTTATTTATATGTACACACACACATGCATACACATACATGCATATGCATCCACAATAGAAAAAGTGCACACTTGGCAGCCCAAAATTATTGATGTGACCTTTTTTGAAAAAGTTAGTGTTGATGAATCGTGTCAAAATTATGTGAAAACATATGTATTTTATTTGGAATGTAATGTGTTGCATTATAGGTTTATAATACCTCACTAAAGTGTATCAACAAATTTTGAAGGGCTCAGACACTTCTAAATCTTCGAAATTTTGATAAACGACTTTGAAAATGTTATTACCGTATTTCCTATAGAAACTAGCAATATTTACTGTTGACTAAAATCTTTCTTATTGGCTTTTCTTGCAGGGATCCTGTCGCTCTAGACATTGACGTGCATGAAATAATTCCTCGTATCTTCAAAAAGGCGTAATTTATATGCACGAGCCACATCCGATTCTCTAGATGAAGATTTTGTGAAGAGGACTTAATATAAGCCATGGAGCAGACATTGTTGTGAGGTGGCGCCGACCTAGTTCTCAACATTGGACATCGATTCGCAAGTCCAACAGTTTGTCCAAATTAAGGTGCTTTTTTCCTCGGACTAGGTAAAGATTCAATCCAATGGAAAAATGCTTGTACTAGCCGTCATAGCGCGCTTGAAATTTGTTTTGTTGGATGGTAAGCATAATTGGAATACCAATTTCGATCTGCCCTTAAACTATGCTATGATTTGCTGTGTGGTTTGATTGATTTTGAAATTTTCTATTTATGTATGGAATGTATCAATTTCCTGATTCTTTGGTTTCGACTATTAGTATCTAATTCATTGGAGCCTATTGGTAAAGCTATGTTGGAATGATTCTAATTTTGAGCGTTTGAAATGCCGACAGGGCCGAGTAATCCTAGTCGGCATATGATCAATTACTTCTCGGCGTGTGATTGGAATTACTCGGTATGTAATGTGTAGATTATTACCATGTGTTGTCATTTCATATATATTGTACGAGGGTCTATATTTATATAATTTTTTGTATAAATGTTCTTCTATCGGTATTATAAGACTGATGGAAGGATTTTTGTAATTTTTTTTTAATTTGGACTACAAAAAAGTACATGAGAACTTTAGAGCCAGACGGGGTAGGATTATAACTATATTCATGTTATCTTATAACAAAGTATATAAATTTATGTTGGTCATCGATATGATATATGTTTATCCGTTCTAATTAGCATTGTTGTCGGTCAGCACATAATCTACAGTTATTGTATGGACTATTATTATGTTTTATCAGTTCATACTATTCATTTGTGGTATGTTCTAATGCATCAATTGTTGTTTGTTTTGTATGGACTATTATATGTATTGATCAGCATCTAAACTCCCGACAATATTTTGGTATATGGTCATATATTATTATTTCTATATATTGTATAAATATATTAATTCTTATTTATTCGATGAAATATAAGAGAGGACTTTCGATCCTTAGTTTTCTGTGTGTTTTTAGGGTTTAGGGTCGTGTAAGAAGCACTAACGTCGAAGAAGCTTGGAAAGACAATATAGAAGATTGTTCGATAATGTAATGATCGCTTTGCGGCTGTAATGACAACTAGATTAGGACGTGTAATTGAAGAGACGAAGTGAAGATCGATTTAGAGAAAAAAGAAAAGGTTTCTTGAAATAGAGATATGAACAAATATTACAGTTAACAACATTCTTACAGGAGTTCAGATTAGGACGTGTAATTGAAGAGACGAAGTGAAGATCGATTTAGAGAAAAAAGAAAAGGTTTCTTGAAATAGAGATATGAACAAATATTACAGTTAACAACATTCTTACAGGAGTTCGACAAAACAAATCACAAACATCAAACCAAGATTAACAAAAGACATTGTCACACAACATCGAGATTTAAATCATGTAATAAAAACAAGAAAAATAGACAGATGGATTATTACAAATGAATAGGATTGGCTTAATGTAAAAGGGACTCAAATTATTCGTCCTTCACCCACATTCAGTCAGTACCTGCTTCCATTCACCTGTATTTAAAAACCATAAACAAATTTATGTTATGTTCGATTTCGGATTTTTTTTTTTTTTACTCTAAAAATTTATGATTTATTCTGAAATATATATATTTTTCTATAAAATATATATTAACCAAGCACACATTTAATATTATATTATATTATATTGGATATATTCCTTTTCGATTCAGTACTATTATAATAAAATAATTATATAGAAAATGAGATTAAAAATATAATTAAAAACATTTTTGGAAATTTAGGTAGTAATTTTTAAAAGTAAAAATGGAATGTTATAAAATTAGTGATTAAATATTAATTTATTGACTATGCTAAATATAATAATAGAGTGAATTTAAAAAAGAAAAAAAAAAGTATATAATTTGACATCTAGATAAATTATTATTTTAACGGTCAGTTTGTTAAGTATTTATAATTAAAAAAAAAAGAAAATTCATTCCATTCAAATTAATTATGCCATTTTGGTATTAAAAATTAAAAAATATGACATTTTAATATAAAAATTAATAGATAAAAAATAAAATAGAGGCACTATAGAAATTTTATTAAAAATTAATATAAAAGTGATAAAGAGAAGAAATAATAGTGAATTTATTGTTATTTGTTAAAATATGAATATTAAAATTGTAAATAGACAAAATTCTTTCCTATAAATAAATTATACATAAATTTAAAAAATAATTAAAAAAATTATTACATAATTATAGACAACGTATAGAACTTTTATCGGTAGATATATATTATTTTTCCATTAATATTTTAGAAAATTGTGTCATTTTAAAATATATTTTTAAAATACACTCAAATTATTATTTTTAGTTATGTGAAATTCTTAGAAAATGGTATCTTGTGTATTTGAATTCATAATTTTATTATTATATATAGCTTCTCTATTATTATTATTATTATTATTATTATTATTATTATTATTTGAATTGTATGTATTTACTGAATAAATATTTTTAGAAATAGTTTCGAAAAATAAAAATAAATAAAATAAAATAATAGGCGTATGCATATCCTTACCTCAAATCCCACAAGAGATCTGCAGTAATTGGCGTTTGTAAGAACCGTGCTTGTCGATCCACACTCGCTGTCCTTTAGCGACATCGCCGATCTATCCAGCTTTACCGACCAAGGATAATTATTATTATTATTATAATTACTATAATTATAATAATTATAATTATAATTACTATTATTATTATTATTATTATTATTATTTTGACCCCCCGGCCCCACATTCGACGCCGACCTCTGCATCCTCACCGCCCGCGGAACGTTCCTCCCTTCCAGCGACGCCCGCCGGCGGCTCGCCTGCCGCTCGAACGCCGACGGCGGCGGCGGCGGCGCCTCCGCCGGCCGCTGCTTGGGGGCGCTGTGGGAACGGACTTTGGCCCGCGACGACTCCGTATTCGCCATGTAATTCGGGTAGAACGGATACTCGTTGTATAGGGACAGCGATTCCCCGCCCCCGTACTCGGATCTCGGGTACGGATACTGGGTCCGTGTCGGGTCGGGTTTGGATAGCCCCGAGTAGCACTGCGGGCTGCTCTGAGCTGTCCCGAACGAGGAATACTCTTCGAAGTGGTTGCTGCAGGCCCGCGGGCTCATGTCGGTGATCGCTGACGCCGCCGGCGACGGCTGGGCGGAGATCCGGTGGTGGTCGGTGTTTGAATAGCTGCTGTTTCGGGCTTTTGTCGCAGGCTTGTAGCTGTACGCGGCGGCGCCGGCGACGTCCATTTCGACGATTTTTATGTTGTCTTCGAGGGCTCTGTCGGAATCCGGCCGGCGGCGGGTTGGGGGAGTGAATTCGTGGTGGGGATTTTCTTGGAGAGATTTCCGGTGGTGGAAGTGGCGGTGGTCGGCGGCGGGTTTTGGTTCCTCCGCCGTGAGGCGGAGGCGCTGCGCACGTGCCCGGGCTTGGACGGTCACGAGCGCCTGCATACACCGCAGCGTCGCCGTCGCCTGTTTCCGTACAAGATGACCTCTTACCAACGCCTGTAATTTCACCAATCCTTTCAACGCATTCAATGCCTTCCTCGCCTGAAAATCAAAATCAGAAACCCTAATTTCATCCCCAATTTGACATGAAATCAAAACCAGAAACCCTAATTTTACCCCCAAATTGACATGAAATCAAAATCAGAACCCTAATTTCATTCCCCAATTTTCATACCAAATACGCCCGGAAAACGGACTGAATTTTGACGGCGGCGGCGGCCTCAGCCGCCGCCGTGAGCTGAGCAACAGCGGCAGCCGCCTTAGCTGCCGCCGCCGCCGCATCGGCGGCGGCGGCGGTGGCAGCAGCCACCGCCATTGCGTGCTTCTTAGACTCCCCTTCCGTGAAGTGCTGATCGTCGGAATTATTCCCCGCCGTCGCGGAGGAGCGGCGGAAGCTCCACCGGCGCTTCTCCTTAGGCGTGGTCGGCTGCGGCAGCGCCACCGGAGTCGCCGGCCGGGCGTCGGCGGCGGAATTTAGGGTTTGGACGGCGACTCTGACGTCCTTAAAGTGATCTTTCTCGGACCTGTCCTTGTCCTTATTACTATCCTTCTTCGTCGTCCCTGTCAAGAAATTTCTTATCCATCTGCTAGTTTTGCCCATGTCTGTCAATGTCGGAAGCTCACAAAAATCTGAGACAGAGTCAAAGAAAGCAACAACTTTGGTGTCAAGAAGAAGACGACCAGAGGCGCCATTAAATTACAGGTCCATAATTATTGGTGCACTGTTTCATTGCAAGAAACAACCTTTTTCAGCATTCATAAATTATAAATTAAATTAAATTAAATCATCTCCAGAATTAATTATGGAATCCTCAGGACAGATAGGATTAATTGATTCCTTACGTCTTGGTGATAGTCAATTTTTTTAAAAAAAATAATAATTATAATGCTATTAATAATTTATTAAATAAAAAAAAAAAAAAGTAAAAAAGTGTAAAAAGAAATGGGATCTGAAGCATGTGGAAGAAGATGCCTAATCCGTGTAAAAATGGGATTGTCAGATTTTTATCATACATTAAATTTTGGGGCCTCTTCGGACATGGGCTTTCATTTCTTTGTCTCTCCATGTGATTTTCTTTCTTACTTTATTTTTATTTTTATTTCTTTTATAAATAATACTAGTATTTTAATATTTTATATTTATTCCCTCCTTTATAATTTGTGTCTATTTTCTATTTTAATGTCTGTTACATAATTTATTATTTTGTTTTTGAAAATATAATCGTATTACTTTAATCACATTTTAAAATGTATAATTTCTAATTTTTTTAATTTTAATTAAACTATATACTTATCTTAATTTTTAATTATTTTTACTGATATATGTGTTAATTACTTACTAATTATATCTATTTAAATTCTCGTATCTATAATAATATGGCCAAATTATCTAGGGCCGATGGAGTATTTGATAAATATAGTGTAAATATTAATATAATGAAATATTTTTTGTAATGCAATGAAATCTATACTTATTAAATACGGGAATTTGTATATTGTATTTTGGATATCCTACATTACAAAATATATTCTCTATTCAACATCAATGTATACATTTATGTTTTTTTTTTTTTAAAAAAAATATTAAATAAAAATTATATTTTATTGACAAGTTTAAGTGTGTAAGAAAATTTTGATATATATTGAAATATAAAAATTTCACTTGTATTTAAGTTTTATATTAAATGTTGATAATATATTTGTAATTTATATAAAAATTAATTAATATTTTAGTATTAGCATGTAGAAAAAAATGACAAAATATATAGATTGATGTAGGATGAAAGGAGTGTATAATTAATTAATTTGGTTTTAATTTAGAGTTTAAGCACACCCTTTAATTAATTAATTAATTAATAAATAATGATAATAATAATAATAATAATAATAATAATAATAATAATAATAATAATAATAATAATAATAATAATTAGTATTATGATATGATATGATATGGTTTGGAGATGTGAGAAGGGATAATTTTGATGATATGATATGTGCACATGCCTTAACAGTTGTGGAATCTGCCTTGTTTAATTTATTACACTCTAAACCATGATCCAAGACAGCCCAACTTGTAGGTGGCACAAATATGTACATACATATATATATATATATATATATAGAGAGAGAGAGAGAGAGAGAGAGAGAGAGAGAGAGAGAGAGAGAGAGAGAGCGGGGCTAAACTGTATTGTTATGTTGTATCTAACTCTTTTATTATTTTAGTATTTTAAGTGGATTATGTTTGACAATAGTTCTGTAAGTAAAAATTTTTCGTTAAAATGGTCCTCCGGTGCTGGACTCGCCACGTTGGCCCGCTGTTGCTGACGTGGCTGACATTTCATCGCTACGTAGATGTCACGTCGAAGGACCATTTTAGCGAAAAAAGTTTACTTGCAGGACTATTTTCAAACAAAATCTATTTAAAGTACCAAAAATAATAAAATGAGGTCATATATAGGACTAAAAAAATAATTTACCAAGATATTTTGTAAAAAGAAATCCACATGTCGCTGACGTGACATCTACGTGGCGATGACATGTCAGCCGCGTCAGCAACGGCGTGCCAGCATGGCGAGTTCAGCACCGGAGGACCGTTTTAACGAAAAAATTTTACTTACAAAACTATTTTCAAACATTGTTCACTTAAAATCTTAAAATAATAAAAAAGATCATATACACAACACGAAACTTACATGTCTCGTCCTAATATATCTTGTGTGATGTCAATTATGGCATGTGTGGTTCCGACTATTTAATGTATTGTCAATTTATGTATTGTATTTATATTATATTAATATATAATTTGTATTGTCATTCTAAACTTTATATTGTTAGATATATTTTTTGTGCAAATTATCAGTATTGTATTGACTAATTACAATCAGCATAGTAACTGTGGTCATGAACTATTTGGGCAATTAGGGGTAGTGTGCTTTCTTGATTTTGTCCTTCTTGTTTAACTATTTATTATTATGCAATTCTCAAAATTTGATGTATATAATATATTATTCTATTTGATGAAATATTTAATTCAATTACTATTTTAAATAATATAAAAATTAAAATTAAAGTAAAAGGTCAAATATAAATCAGACATATTTTTATCAATTTTTATCATTTTAATATTACTAAAAGTGTGTTAATATTATATTTAGTTAGAAGAATACATTCATTCTTTAAATCTTTACTCATTATTTTTTTCATTTATTTACATTGTTGTTACTGATGTTATTAATTTTACATCCTATTTAAATTTAAAATGTCTCCATTATTGAATTCGTTAAAGTTCAATCTAATTAAAATAATTGATTAATATTATAAAAGTCTAAATATACAAAAAATAATACTTATTATATTATTATTTTTCCTATATTATCGATAATTGTTTATGTTTATTAATATTAATATTATTTTAAATTTATATATTATGATATTAGTGAAAAATATTTTTAGATTTGTCTCTTATTCATTGTAATTTTCTTTTATGTAACTGAATACTTAGCAACACATTTTTGTTAAGAATAAGAATATTAACCACGTATGATATATATATATATATATGTTGAATTAATATATTTTATCCGTCCTAAAAATAACTATCTATTTACTTTTTGCACGTAGTTTTAGAAATATTAGTATTATATTGGGATATAGTAGGAATAAAGTAGAAATGACCAAAATAACCTTATTAGTATGTGTGATATAAAGGTAATGGCATTTGTGTAATATATTGTAAGTTGTAAGGGTATTTGTAATGTTAGGTAAATAGTACAGTTACTAAAAGAGAAAATAGATACTTTGTTATAGGACGGACTAAAATGGAAAAATGGATACTTTGTTATGGGACGGAGGGGGTAAATCTTTTTGAAATGATATGAATATATTGAATCATTTAGTCTTAAATATTACTTCATCCGTCCCTTAACAATCTATCAATTTTTTCATTTTGGTCTGTCTTATAACAAAGTATTCATTTTTTTCTCAGTAATTATACTATGTACCTAACATTACAAATACCCTTCCAATTTACATTATATTATTCAAATGTCATTACCTTTATATCATACAATACTAATATGGTTAATTTAGTCTTTTTACTTTTATTTCTACTTTATCCCAATATAATACTTCCTCAGTCCCATTGAAAGGTTGTCATTTTCTATTTTCGTTCGTCCCAAAACAAAGTTATCATTTTCTAATTTAGTAATTGTACAATTTACATAACATAATAAATAGTCTTTCAACTTACACTATATTACACAAATGTCATTACTTTTATATTACACAATTACTAATAGAAACATCTTCGTCTTTTTTCACTACAACCCATTATAATACTAATATTAAAAAATCTACATGCAAAAAGTAAACGACAATCTTGCACCGAAACGGAGGGAATACTAGTATTTCTAAAACTCCGTGTAAAAAACAAATAGATATATAGATATAGGACGGAGCGAGTATATTAGTTGTGAAAAATGTAATTCTTTAATAGACACTAATAAATTAAACAATTTGGTCTAATTCTTCATAAATAAATACACATTAATAACATACTAGTGATTTAAGGCACATTATTCAATTAATTGACCATATATATTTATATGATTAAATAATTGAGATTGATTAATTAGCATGTGGGATGACAGTAATTGCAAGAGACATTCTCCAATTAGAGAATTACAACATTGTGACAGCTACATTTTGCATTTAAATAAATAAATAAATATACCTAAATAGTTGTCTTTATTATTATTATTATTATTATTACCAACTATTCATTTCATTCTTGTTTATAACATTAGAGACGTTTATAATGTATATATATATATATATATATCCATACTTCATTAAATTGAAAATTGGGTAAACTGTTTTTTTTTTTTTTTTTTAAGTACGTAACTGACCCCCTTATTATTTTAGTCTCATAAGTAGAGTCTGTCGTAAATTAGTCCCATAAGTAAAAAAATTTTGCTGTTTTAGTCCTTCGGCGCCGGAGATGCCCGCGTGGCTAGCCGGAGGTGACCTGACCTGGCGGACACGTGGATTTTCTATTTTTTTATTTTTCATTTTTTTTAATTTTTTTAAAAACTTATTTTTAATTTATTTTTAATTTTATTTGTATTTTTTATTTTTTTTATTTGGTCCAATTAAAAAATAATAATATTAAAATAAATGAAAAATAAAAAATAAATCTACGTGTCCGCCAAGTGTCGCTGACCTGGCGGGACACCTGACGGACACGTACCTCCGGCAAGCCACGCGGGCGTCTCCGGTGCCGGAGGACTAAAACAGCGAAATTTTTTCACTTATAAGATTAATTTGCGACAGGCTCCATTTACATGACTAAAATGATAAAAGGATCCAATTACGAGACTTTAAAAAATAGTTTACCTTTGAAAATTTTATTTGCCTTTTTTTTTATGGTGATTATTAGAACCAGAAAAAATATATACAATTTGAAAATTCCATTCAAACCCGATACAAGAAAATTGTGCTTATGATGACTTGAAAATTTCCGGACTAAACTGGCCATGCACGAATAATAAATAGTCGAACTGTATTTGACTCATCCCAATTTTAAATTTAAATAGTTAATATATTTAAAATTAGATAATTTTATAAAATTGTTAACAAATAATTAAATATATATAATGATATTCACATACAAATATATATCATAAATCCAAAATAAATACCTAAAGTCCTGCCAAACAATATATATTGAAATCCAA